CAAATTTTTAAGTCGAATTTTAAAGTTTCTTTCATAGCGGCCGCCGGCATACTGCGTTGAGTATATTAATGCACGACACGCTTCAGGCCCGACAGTCATCGCCGCAGCCGCTGCCAACGTGATTATGCATTCAAAAGTCATTTCCATACACACACGAGCCGCGCGGTGACACACATCGTGCCACACGTTCGCATGTGCATTCGTTTGTACCGCAATATTAATTTGGGTGCAGCAGCGAAACGACTACGTGATTCGTCGTGTGCCTCCACGCTCTCAGCAGCCAGTCGCCCGGCCATCCATCCATCCATCCATCCAAAATGCATGCAGGCTCGCTCGCTCGCCGCCACCGTATGCGTGTCGTAATCAGGCAGTGGGCCATAAGCAAATTTGTTCCGGCTACTCTCCGCTGTGTAAGCCATACACATACATACATACGTGCATACACGTGAAATAGCATTTGCTCCAGTTTATTTTCCCTCGCTAGATTTCAATTCCAGTAGGAAAGGGTGGTTGGTTGACGCTACACAACACAAAGTATGCGACTGCCTTTCCAACGCCAAAAAAATGCATACATAGGTAAAGTGGCGGTTTCTGTGGCGGTAGCCCGGTTGGGTTGCATTCGTTGTCGCCCACGTAGTCCCCAAACTTTCATACATACATACGGCTTGCGGCATAGGTCGGCGTTCGGCAGTCGGCGTCATTCGTGTTGTCAATATTATAACCGACTTTTGTTTGTGTTTTTGTGAATGAAATCGTAATATGACCTTTTACAATTTTATTAAAACGCAGACACGCATACACATGCACAACTAACACCTGACACCCAGCAGGCGAGCCGATGCTTTTCGTATTAAACACTCGTCAGCAGCGCAAGAAACGTCAACGTCATACTGAACGTAATAATCGTCGTCATCAAAATTTTTCGTTCTATATTCGTCGTTAATGCACCGAATTCAACTATGACTGAGCGTATTGACATTTCCGCTTCTCGGCTATATGTATACATACGTATTTAGTAATCGCATTCGCACCGACTATAAAAACAATGAATTCGACCATTATAGTGGGTGCGCGCATTGCGAACAAAGCCTCTTCCTGCTACCTTTTTTATGCTTTTCGCTGAAATTTAGTTAACGAATTATGTGGCAGGCAATATCATATTTAAGGAACTCACACATTTGTGTACTCGTCACTCGCCGGTTTTAAAGTACGACCGGTCGTTTTCGTTGTAAATGGTTTAGTTGACTGGCTTTTTATTTTTATTTTACTACAATACTTGCTGATTAATTGGGTGTTCCATGCTCTTGTTTTTCTTCTGTTTTCCTATCCATTGCGTTCTTTTTATCATGGGCTGGGCGCGGTGATTTGCGTAGGCGGTTATGGTGCTATTTGTTTTGCTCAAAATGATTTCCGAGAGCTAGTTATAATTGCGCCTGTTTTTGTTTTGTAATTGATACGAATTTAAAGCGTTAAATGTTGCAGCAGAAACTAACTTCATTTTCAATTCTGCTACAGAAATCAGTAAGGAAAGTTATGGATATTCTTGCACTAAAGTGATCAGCGTAATTGGGGCTTTGAGGAAAACAATTACTATACTTCTCAACATTGTTGAATGGTGAAGCATGCGCTAAATTTTAGGAGAGGTTGTTGTTGTTGCGGCACTCAACTAACGGCAGGCCCAAGAAACAGGCTTTTTAGACGGGATCGGAACAAAGGATAACTGGCATGTGAAAAGGTGGTTGGTGTCGTGTGGGGAGTATCCACATGCCGGACACTAATTGGGGATATTGGGGTTGAGTCTGGATAGGTAGCTGATGAGAAGGCTACAATATCCACACCGTAACTGGGCCAAAGTAACGCGGATCTCTCTTGGCAGTTGAAGCTACGAGTCTGTGGTTGGGCTCCGATCACGGCAATCATAGGTCGGAAGTCCTGGTAGGTGGAGACCGATTCCCTATGAATGCCGCTGATCACTTGTCGTTACGTCGTCGGGTCCAGTGGTTGCTCAATGTATGTTCGGACCGCAACCGACTTAATAGCCTTAGCTAAGGCTCAACGTCTTGCTAAAGAACTAATATTACGCCAGCTGTTGAGCGTAATTTGGTGAGAATACTCAGTTCAATCTAACATGTTGAAATAACCGTATTCTCAATGGATCCACTTAGGTCAATGACGATTTAAGGAGCTTATACCCGTGGCACAACATCTATAAAAGCTTTTACAGCAGACTAAATTTTACTTTGACTTCAACTCAGGCCCTTTTAGAACTCTAAAAAAAGTCATATGGTACTCAGTAAAACCATATGCCTATCCATCTATTTATTATATCTATTGATCTGAGATTTCAAAATTTCTTCGGATCTAAATTTGGCTAGCCTCTAATAGTGACAGAAAAGATATTCGAAGGTAGACCATGGGCCGTTTCCTCGTCTAAACAACTTATCGTTGAAACACAATATCGGCGAAGGGCGAATTTCACCCAGCTAAGCGTTGCCGACGTCCAACTTTCGTCCAGCTAATTCACATATAGAGTGTTATTTAATTCAGAAGGCTGTCAAATGATAAAGTGACCATATTTAAAGAAGGAATAGGGGAATACCTTCAAGAATAAAGGGTGAACATACCAAAACTGCGACACTTAGAAATTACTACCAGAAACAAACTAGAAGGCCTTGAAATTATTTTTTTTTTGTATTATATAACTTGGAAGTTTAGATGTTATTTAAATGTTAAAATATTAGTTAATATTTGCTCCATATGCAAGTGATCGGTATTTTCATCGCACACGCGCCATCATGTTCTGCACGACTGCATCATCGACTTTACGCGATGCCCACAACTACTTTGTTTTGCACTCTTCAATATTTTTTACTGTTTCACCTGTTTTCTTCAAGATTCCTTTGACCATTGACGAATATTCCCCAATAGGACGTAGCTCTGGGCTATTGGGTGGATTGCAGTCGTGAGGTACAAAATTGATGTTATTTGCATTATACCACGGCAATGTGTCCTTGGCATAGTGGCAGCTTGCCATGTCCGCCTAGAACAGTGGCCTACTCCTTATCTGTTGATAAATGACAGAATACGCCTTTTGAGCCACTCATCCCGATAAACTTGATCATTCATTGTCCCGGATGGGCAAAAGGGCTGCTCTTACGGCCACAGGAACAGATAGCTTGCAAAACCATGTGGTTTTTTGGAAATTTGGATTTAATTTTCAGCTTACAACTTTCAGGGGCATCTTGACGACTTGCAGCAGTATAAAAATCTTGACCTGCAATATATTTTGAATTTTTAAAGCAGTAGGTTTCGTAGTCGATAACAATGCAGTTGTATTTTTTAATTTAGAATTCATACAACTTCCGAATTCGGGATTTCGCTGTAACATTCTACTTTGCGCCTCGGTCTGGCGCTGTTTGACCTGTAGAACATCTCATTGAAGCTTTCCGCTTTACCTTTTGTACGAAAAACTGCGATCTCCGTACGGATTTTGCAACATAACGCGACAAAATCTTCGGATCTCGCGAAAACGCACTGAGGACCTTCCGAGAACTGTTTTTATCACTTTGACCATGCTAACACCCGCTCCCTGGTTTTCTCGTAACTGCCAGGTCTTATTTGTACCGATTAAAACCCTAAAAACTGTCGAATAGTGCAATCTTTAATTTTTAGCAATTTTACGTGTACTTAAGGCCGGATCATTTATAAACTCGTGCAAAATGGTTTGTCTCGTTTCTAAGTCGGTTGCCATTTTTAACTCAACTAGGAATCAAATTCAAATGAAATTTCTTCTACGTCCAACTAAGGTCATGGTCAACTTATGGTATTTAAATTTGAAAATATTGAAATCTTTTTGGGTAAGTTATAAGCTTCCCAAAGTGTCGCAATTTTGGTGTGTTCACCCTTTAAGCTCTAAATGTCTTTTACTATCAAACATACGTTTTGCGAAATTAGTCTCTGAAAGAAAAATATAAGGTATATTATTTTAGTTTTAAACAAAAATTACGATACCTTTTAAGGTATGGTCACCATGGTCTTTTTTTTCCGTTGCCGCTGACCACGGCGATAGAAATAAATCTATCGTCGCGAATAGTCGTCGAGCGAACTTCGTCGTTTGCTTTGGTTGTGCGCGTTCTCATATACATCAGTGTGTTTTAGTTTTTACAGCGAACGTTCGCCGGCATTGTGTTTCAATGGTTACATAGCGGTCAGTCTAGAAGGCGCCGACGAACTTACTTGTAAGTAAGTCTATCAAATAAGTGCGAAATGTACCTGTTTTACCGATGAAAGATCAAAAACCACTTTCGAAGGCAGCGGCATTTTCTTCAGGGATTTTCTTGATGCCTGGCTATCAGTTAAAATACTGCATTATCCTCACCCTATCGTGTAAGCTTCAACTTTAGATTAGATACCTTTTCCATAAAGAACACACCATTAAATTTCTAGTACGTAGAAAAAAGTCCTTTTACCGCCAAGTACGTCCATGCAACAATCTGGGCGTATAAAGCCATATCGATCATCTTGGAGCGCAGAGTACACAACCCTGGGTATTTCCGAGAGAATATTGCATGGTAGATTTAGCTCTAAGGCATCACGACGGCGTTATCGCCTACCCTTAATCCTTAATCGATTCATCTATGTATGCACCTACACATGTCCCCCGCGATGGTTAAACGCCAATGGTGATACGGAGCTCTATTGATCTTTAGCTGACCAAAGCGATCATGTGATTTAAGTTCGGATATATAAAATTATTATTGGATATATTACTATAATGCCTGTACATCCGTAGGATCACCAAGTGCCTTACTTTAGAAATAGAGCAATACCAATAACAATGCAATATTTTATTTCTTTTACACTACGAAAATATCTTTTTTTAACAGATGTTTTTAATGCTATCAAAAATGTCCATATTCAAATATGTACATGTACAATTAAAAATCAACAAACATCTGCGACTCTATTAACTTCACTTCCTTTATTTTTTCTCTCCATAGAATCCACTGCAATTTACGCGCGTACGCACTTTAGCTACCAGCTGGTTTCAGCCGTGCGCCGTAAATTGTCGTTGTTGTTATTGTTGCAATGCATCGATCATTGAAGCCACACGCACAAGCTAAAAAGGTACCACCACCTGCGCTGCCCGGAGATCCAGCACCACAACAACAGCAAATACCATTGTACCGCTTAGGTGGCAGCATTTCGAGCGCAGCTGGTAAGCAGCTGGATGATGGCATCATAATGAGTAGCATGGTATCGTCACCATCTTTGGAGGAGGGCGGTTTCAATTTGCCACGTGAGCCATCGGTAGCATTGCGCATGAAAGGTATGCATGACACATTTGCGTGAAAATAAAATGTATACACATCTACATGTGTTACATATTGTGCCAATTTCGCATTATTTACAGACATACATTGTTTACAATTTCTCTTTTTGTTTCGTAGATGAAATAAGCGAATACGCCACAGCTATGTCAACGTCAGGCACATCACAATCATCGGCATCCTCAGCCGGTGCTGCTACAGCTGGCAAACAACAAACGGCTAATCAAGCAGCCGCAACTGGCGCAACACTTTTATCCACCGCAACTAATCCGCTCCTCAGCGGTTGTCCACCCACAATAGTGCCATGTCCCCCGCCTGTGTTTTGCGCCACCCTGCGCGAACCGCTCACACACAAAGCGGCCGTCTACTATCATCAACAGTTGGCGCTGCAAGAAGATCAGGGCATCGATCTGACACAATCACCAGGTCGCGATTCACCCGGTTCGTCATCGGGTTCAGCTGGTTCTGGTTCGCGACACTCCACCGCTAGCTTGGATTCGGGTCGTGCCTCATCGTATTTGACTGGGGTGTCTGGTGCATCGATACGTGGCAGTGCGGGCGGTGCACTCTCATCGCCACGTTGCAGCTCGGTGAGTTCGTGTTCGATCGGTAGCGTCGATCGGCAGCGTAACGATGAACTTATTATCGATTGGCTGCTGGAGATGAAGTATGAGGAGTATGCACAATTGTTTATAGCGGCCGGTTACGATTTACCGACCATTGCACGAATGACCCCCGAAGATTTGACGGCGATTGGCATAAAAAATCCACATCATCGTGAGCGCATAAAACAGCGTATCGATAAGTTGCAAGTATTGGATAACTTGCCACACTTTGTGCCGGTAAGTCCAGTTTGTAGCAACTACAAACATACATTTATATTTATTTACTATGTACCATGTAAGTAGACAAAAAGAAGCGGGCAAATACAATGAGGGGGTGCGGTTGGAGTGCTCACAGCAATATTTTTTTGTTTACTTATCACACTTTCCACATTTTTGTGTAGGTGTTTGTGGTGGATCAACCAGTCGCTGGATTTTATGAGCATGTGAATGGAGCGTATTAAAAATGGCAAATGATTTAATTGGAAACCACGTAGATAAATCAACACAGCAATACAATACGCTGAAAAGCCAAGCTGTAAATATGATTGTAAATTGCACGATGTGAGAATGCAAAGCAGATTAAATTTCAATTCTTAAAACCTGTTTTCAATTATGTGGGTGGCAATGAGTTTTGCACGTTATTTATTTTGACCAGTGTCTGGGTAGCAAATGGAATGAAGGGTCTATTAATTATCAGCTTTCAGCACAAGTGACAGCAATTTATTCATTCTCACCTATTTCCAGAATAAACATTTTTCTTTTTTTCATTTTAGACAAAGGGAGTAGTGAAATAGTCAAAGTGGTTTATAAATTTGATTTGTAGCTGAAAATGTGTATAAGATATGCTTGTTTGAAAATGGCGTGCATACTAACCACTACACTATCGAGGAAATACTTTATAAATTGTATTAAACTAATGATATAGCTGCATTATTATTAAGTCGATGCTATCGATATCACTCACTATGTTATCAAGCACAAAATAATAATAGCAGTCAATATACTAGCGAGTAATTAAACAAATAAAACTACGAATGCCTTGACAGAATGAGGTCAGTGCGCTTTTGAGATCAATGAGCTTTGAGTTTACTACTACAAAGTGTTTTAATAAATTGAGTTATCACCAAAGCAAGTGTAAAATAGAAACATGCAATTACGGAATGGAAACAATGTTCAATCGAAGTGGTCACACAAATGGGAGGGACCTACAGTTTCTAACGGCAATTGTATTTTTATGAGAAGCTGGAATAATACACTCGGAGGTTTGCATTTGCCTGCTGAGGGGCGACCGCTATTATAAAAAAAAGTTTGTTTTATTTGTATCTTATTTTTTTATGTCAGTCGGAAACTGGGTTTGAACCCAGGCCCTGCAATCAAGGCTGGAGTTATATGCTAACTATATATAGCTTCGATTTCAATTTAGGGATGGTACTAAGCGCTATACTATCGAGGAACTGCGACCGCTACTAATCTATGTATTATTGATGCTAACTATCGAGGATTAAGGATCGATATTAATCAGTAGATCTACAATTGGCATTAACTACTCTACATACTATCTAGGAGTTAAGGCTGTTGCTATTGTTCGAGTTGGGCACAATAAGAATTAAGATAAAAGAAATAAAGATTTGCCCAGATTTATTTTCGAAACAAAAATCTCATTATGATGTTCCATCTGCTCAGGGGCGGAGTGGTTAGAGGGGCGAACTAGCACTGCATAGGACCTGGGTTCGAACCCTGGTCCGAGCAACGTATAGATTGGAAAACGTTTTTTCCAACAGCGGTCGCCCTTCGGCAGTGTACTTATGCCTTGAAAAAGCTTCTCGTAAAACCATTTGCCGTTCGGAGGCAGTTTAAAATTGTAGGTCTCCCCATTTGTGTAATAAATAACATCAGGGCGCATACCACAAATTGGAGAATAGGCACGGCCAAACACTTCGCAAAAAGTGGAAGCGCCAAATTATTATATTAAGTATTTTTATCGTCTCCAAGGCGGTCCGTCAATTTCTATACATAAAAACCAATAGAGCCTCTAACTCAAACAGCTTTCTAAAAATTTATGTCAAAAGCAATCGGAAAACCACATGCACAAAAGTCCTATTTTATTTCTCACAAAAGTGTAAGAAATGCCAATCCGCAACTGGCTATCAAGAACCTGCTCCCAAAATTGGCATATTTTTCAAAAGCCCACTCAAATGTGAAACGAACGCATGCAATGCATCCGATAACTTGAAGAATGTTAAGCGGCATGAAATATTTCGAGCTAGCGGCTTTTGACTTGCAAAAATCGAGTCGAAATGAATTGAGTGAATGACTAGCGGTAGGTCTGCGTGTGTGGGTTCTGCGACGTCGAACAGGTTCATACGACATTATCGTTGTTACAGCGACAAAACGTTTTTTTTTGTGTTATTCACTTTTTGCTATACGAGGTTTATAAACAAAGTCCTACAAGCTATCGTTCACATGTGTTTTCGCACAGTCAGTGCTTACGTGACTTTCATTGCAATTCGAAGAAGAAAAAAAATGCAGTGTTCAAGCTTTCAGCTAGTGCGCAATTGAGTTATTTTCTATAGTTGACACCACATGCATTCGGTGCGCAAATGCAGATGTTTGTAGAATGCTACTGATTAATTTATTTATTTTGCTTAACTATAACACGATAACGGCCGATATAACACTTAATATTAAAATAATAAATAATCACTCGCCTGTCGGCTGGTTGAAAATTTACTTGCTAGCAGCGCTTGTGAATTTTTGCTTTATGCCAGACGCGGCAAAACGCGGTATGTACAACATAAATGCAACGAATGGATGCCATGTCAACACTTGTGACGAACGGGCTCACATTCCACTGTTCGCATGCACCTTCCTACACAGCCAGTCAGCCAGCCAACGGCATTAACGGTGCTTATTTTTGTTTATCATTGACGTTTTCATTTAACTTACCGAGTATTTTTTTGTTTGGTGCATACTGCTGTAACTGCTTTCAGTTTATTTTCTATTTTTTGTTGATTCTTTTTTACGTTTTCTCTTTGCTGTTTTTGCAATCACCATAAAAAACGCCATTTAGCAGTTATTGCCTTTAATACATATGTACATACATATCTACTTACAAACGCTAATTTACTCAGACACTTGCGGCGTAGTATTGTCGATGTTTTTTAAAGTTATCTCTTTTTGTTTTAAAGTGTTGTTGATATACATATCATATATCTTCTGTTTCTATTTATTTATGATTTTTTTATTTCGTTTGCACACTTGTTGTGCGCTATTGGCCTTTAGATATGCTTACAGTTGTGTTGGATGTAAAGCCATTTCATTAAGCGCGATGCACATACATACATAACGTTTTTCAATCTAACAAGTTTTCGTTCCATAGCGATATGTATGACACAGCATATGACTGTTTAAACCTCAGTTTCTCCACACGTCAACATTAAGTAATTATATACTCCCTTGGAAAATCATTTACAACTATGTAGTAATTTACAGTCACGTCAAAAATAATAAGGACACCACATTTTGACCAGTTTTGGCTAGTTTTCTTTTGTTTGTTTAATGTTTATTATTTTTTTTTTTTTCTATGAAAGTCAAGAACAACAAACATTTTATTGCGAATTTTTAGTTATTATTTTCTTCCATACAAAACTAATTGTCAATCATACTTTATTTGGAAGAAAATGCGTGACACCGTCAGCAAAAAAAAATTTCAAAAATCAACGCGAATTCTCAGCCACTTGAATTAATGGGCTATACCTAGAATTTTTCTAAAAATTCTGAATAAAAAGCATATCGATGGCTGAGTGGAAGATCGACCTATCTCGGCAGCCAGTTCGAAAACATTCTATCTCAAAAAACTTTTCTAGAACGCCCTATTTCACCCTATCTCAGCATATTTTCAATACATTTTGAAGTGAGATAGGGCGTTTTTGAACCGAATTTTGAGATAGGGTGTTTTTCAATAAAATTCTGAAAAAGGGCGTTCTTGGAAAGTTTTTTGAGATAGAGCGTTTTCGAACTGGCAGCCGAGATAGGTCGATCTTCCACTCAGCCATCGATATGTATGTACATTAGCACGGGTCAATTTGTATAGAATATTTTTTCGACTATGCGCGTATAGCACGGAGATTNATTAGCACGGGTCAATTTGTATAGAATATTTTTTCGACTATGCGCGTATACTCCGTGCTACATGCAGCTCTAAGAAAATTTTCCGAAGACACCATGGTTCCAAAATCAATTTGAAGTTTGGCAAATTGCGAAAATGGGTTTTTTAGCATTTTGCTGTACTGTCGTTAAGTGCTTAAATTTTTTACAAAACATGCTAGAAGCGGTTTTTTGGTATGAGGAATCCATTTCTATACTTAAAAACTTCTACCAAAGGGCGCAAATTACATGTATGCTAGAATTACATGTATGCTATTAATACTCGCATAGTAAAAAAAATTATCCGCCCTAATGTACATTCATACATGCACGAGCTAATTGTACTTATATACATATGTATGAATAAAATATACATATATACATACATATGTATGTATGCATAAGTTTTCTAAGCCTTAGCTCCGTAATTGCCCCCTTACATGCATATATACAGAAATGTTAAGTTTTTTGGTTTGTCTTAAACAAATTAAAAATAATAGCAGCTGTAATCACTTGAATAGTCAATTAAGTTATTGTAATTTTTGTGGTCATATTCCGACAACTGGATTTCTAGCTTTAACATTAACACTATCTATATACCTAACTTTTTGCTTCATTCGCAAAGCTGGTTTCAAGTGGTTTGTAATTGTGAGCAAAATTACTTGAATTGTTCATTAGTTTTTTGCCACTTGTCTTGAGCATTGTTGGCAAATATGAGATGATTAATAAGTGATCCGGTTTAACTATTAACTTGTCAAGGTATGCAGCCACTTTGCTTACAATAGGTAGGCATGGTCAAGTTAAAATGTAACATTTATCTAGTTCTTTAAACGTCAATTAAAATTCAACGCCAAAATAAAATTAATAGGACAAGTCTTATAAAAGCTGTAGGCCCAGGTCTAATAGTGCTTAAATAAGACAAAAAATAAATAACATATCATATGAAGGTAGAAGCCACACGAGATGCCAGGCCGGTTTCCCAACGCGGACACACTTTCCTGACTTGGTCTGTCACGATAGGGGCATAACACTTACGTCCCAACATTTTCGCCCTATTCATCTGTTTAATGCCTCACCACATCTGAAGACTG